ATATATATATATATATATATATATATATATATATATATATATATATATATATATACATATAATATATATACTAGAGAAATATATATACTAAGGGTTTTAAAAATATAAATGAAGGTAGATGTGTATAAGTGTAAATGTACGGAGATAGTCGCTTGCTGCTTTGTTGCTCGTCTCAGTAGAAAACAAACGAAAAGAAAAACGAGAAAAAACAGAAAAAGAAAAAGAAGAAAGGGGAGAGGAAAGAGAAGAAGAAGAAGAACAGGGAGAAAGAGAAGAAAAAGAAGAAGAAGAGACAGAAGAAGAAGAAGGGGAGACAGAAAAAGAAGAACAAAGAGAAGAAGAAAGAGAAGAAGAAAGAGAAGAAAAAGAAAGAGAAGAGAAAGAAGAAAGAGTGGGAGTGTTGTTTTTTTTATTTCTTGTTAGGCGGTGGGCCCTTCCTATTGCTGCGCCAGGAGGAGAGGGGGCCCCCCTAAAAAAAACAAAAAAAAAAAAAACAAAAATAAATAAATAAATAAATAAAAACAAATATAAATATAATAATAAATATAAATGCAAAAAAAAAGAAACGTAATACAGAAAAAACAAAACGAAAAAATATAAAACAGAAAAAAACAGCAAATGTATAACAAAAAATTTATTAATTTATTTATTTTTTAATCTATTAAAATAAATTAATATTATTTTAAATATGTATTATATTAAATTAATATTATATTAAATATATATTATATTAAATTAATATTATATTTATTTATAATAAATTTATATAAATATATTTCTATAGTAGGCGGGGCTTATATGTACACACATATACAGATACCTACTCAGTGTATATAAAATAAAATAAAATAAAATAAAATAAAATAAAATAAAATAAAAGCAAACAAAGATAAATAAATAAAATAAAGTTTAGTATTATTAAATAAAAATTTGTGTTTTTTTTTGGTTTATAAAGGATTTGTTTTTTACATTAAAGGGCGGCTAAAAGCCGAGAGGAGACGATGCTGGTTCTGCTGCATTTGTTTTCTTTTTTTTTATTCTCTCGCGCGTATCATCTGTTTATTTCTTTTATTTTTATTTTTATTTTTATTTTTATTTTTTTTGTTTGTTTTGTGTGGTGTTTGTTGCTTGTTTTCTTTCTTTTCTCTGTTTTGTCTG